AGTCCCTTTGCATCATTATACTTTTTACGCATTTTATCCTCAATGGGCGGGGTTAGAGTACTTGCACATTCTTCCGCCTCAATGTGTCTCTCATAAAACCATTTCTGTAAAGTTTTTCTTATTTGTTCAACCATAGCAAGTACTGGAAACTCCCGAGCATTCTTGAATAACGAGTTCAAAGATTCTGCATTGTTAGTTGTCATAATATTGTAACGAATTCCTTTGAAATGTGCTCGGGACCAAAATTCATACCCAACTTTCTTTTCTAGGTATTGTCCAACTGCCGGACTCTTACGATATAGATTTGCCATTGATTTTTCAAAATTAATCAAACTATACTCCTTCGCAGTTGCCATAAACAATGGCAGAATATCGATCTTATGATAATTTGACTTTATATTTAGTTGTAAATGCCACATGCAACATCCATGATGTGCATAAGGATAAACAATCTATATAGCGTTACCAATGCTCTCCTTGCGATCAGAAATGAAAACAAGCCCTTCCAACATACCCGTTACATGAAACAACTTATCGAAGAACCAAGTCCATGATGCATCATTTTCAGAATCAACAATGCCAAATGCAAGAGGATATATCTGAAGATTTGCATCTTGACACGTGGCAACAAGTAACGTACCTCGAAATTTTGATTTCATAAATGTTCCGTCCACAGAAATGACATGTCTCATTGATGAGTGAAAACCACGTATGCTTGGTCCTAAAGCCATAAAAAAGTATTTGAATCGATTCTCATTATCAACCTCAATGAACGTCATTGTACCGGGATTATTCTTCTTCAGAATATTGCAATACTTGGCCAATCTATCATAACTAAGATCAGGTGAGCCTCTTAATAGCTCTATAGCACATTCTCTAGCCATCCATGCCTTATAATAATTTATATCTATGCCAAACTCCCGACGAATATCATTTTGAATGTTCGAAGGTCTATATATAATGTTGGGATCCTCAAACTTCGACATGATATGTTTTCCTATCATCCAACAACTAGCTTGTCTATGATCTTTGTGGCGAACATCCAATGAACAATTATGATAACGTGAATACTTTCGAATTTCAAATTCGTCACTTTCCTTCAATCGTGTTGCCCGCAAACGCCATTTGCAAATTTCCTCAACACATACTACTACATATGTACTCTTATTTGACTTAGTGACCTTAAATTCGAAAGAGTTTCTTACAGCAAGCATTTGTAGTGATGCCTGAAGATCCTTCTTGTTGCGAAAAATTTGGCCAACGTGCACATCATCGACGTCAGGAATCTTAACTGATGTTCCACAAGGATTCGGATAGGCAACAACTTGGGAAATGCCAATGATCTCATCTACCAATGTAAAAGGTGTATTATGAGTAACATTGTCTTCATTTATCACATGAGAATCATCTATGTCATTTCCATGCACTACTTCTACCCCATCCCAATAATCATCACTTGTAAAGTTCACACAATCGTTTTCACAATTTTGATTACATGGAGACAACGATCGCATATAATTGTTATTGGACTGATCATTTTGCATATAAAATTCATCCATGTCCACCGAATTGTTAGTTGCAACAACATTTGAATTGTATTCATGATTCTTTCAAATTCAACAAAATAACAATCATTGCACCATAGTCCATAGCTGCAATTCAACAAAAAATATATAATATGTTACTCCATTAATTATCAAAATTGAATACTATAAATTACACCTTCAATAACAAACAAAAGGCAACCCATATTGTTACATAACAGATTTAAGCAGAAAAACGACATTCTGTAGTTTAAAATGTGTATGTGCCGTTTAAATTTATTTATGATAATAAAATGCTATAAAAGAATGGGGAAACAACTAATTTGCCAACAAGTATATCAATACCTCCATTGTCTTATTAAAACGGCAGCCAGCTGGGAAAAAAGGGCACCCAACTACTGAGAAACGGCACCATTCCGTTTCAATATTTTACAGCAAATTTTAATTATCCAATTGATTTTTCTCATAGTATACAACTAGAAAATAACAACAAATCTATAATTTTCAATTTATAAAGCTCACCTTCAACTGTGTGAAATCGATTCTTGCTAACCCACCTCCAAAATTTGCACTATTTCATTTGTTCTTGGTTCAAGAAAGGGAACTTCAACATGCAATCATTCATTGTAAGCAAGAATAATGCATATGAAGAAGAATACAGCTGAATTTGAAGGTGGGTCTAATAAGGTGAAAATGGACTTGGAAACGAGAGAAATGAATGGGATTTATGGATTTATATTTGGGGATTTGGGTAATATTCATTTTCAAATTGGATATTTTAGTCATTTCAACTTAAGGGTATTTAAGACTTTTAATATATAATCAAATAGACTTTAGACTATTTAAACAAAAATTATTGATATAGGCTATTTTACCAAAGATTATGGTTGACTAGACTTCTTAAACAAAATCCCCCATATAATATAAGGATTCCAATTCATGCAGCCAATTTCAGTACTGCTTGTAGATAATAATATATATTCTGGTTCGAATTGTTTCCCTTTGTTCATTCTCGAAGTTTCTTAGCGAAATGTGGGGTTAGATTACGCACATAAAAAGATGTAAATATTGAATATTTAGAAATATGAGAAAGAAAGAAAAAGGGTGCAGAGAAATAACATATTTAAATACATGTGTTGGAAAAATAAAAAAACCGTTTTATTTTTATTTAATATTACCACTCTTGGATCGGACTTCGAAAAAATACATAATTATCAACCTATAAAGATACACATTCAAATTTGACAAACTTGTGAAATTATTTCAAAAATCAGGTGGTATTAATTAAATAGATTATATTAATTAAATAAATAATTAAAAAGATTAAGATCACGGTAACATACAATTTATGGTTGCAATTATGTATTAATCACAATTAAGAATGTCACATTCACAATAACAAATTTTATAGGTCACAACTTATTTATCGTTCACAAATTATCAAATTAATTGATCATGACCTATTTCTCGATTACAAATCACAAATTTTATAGGTCATAACTTATTTATGAGTTACAAATTATCAAACTAATTAATCACAAATTATTTATCGTCACAATTTATCAAATTAATTTATTACACCTTATTTCTCGATAACAAATTATTAAATTAGTTGGTCACTATTACCCAATTAAATGATCATAAATTACCCTTCATCTCCCTTACCTTACACCACCTTGTTCCACCACCATTGGCACAACCCAAAACACGCTATCACCTGCTCCCAGGGCACATCTCCAAGTGGTAAAAAGGGAGGGTGGAGAAATCCAGCTTTGCTTGAGGCTGCTGCGTCAAGGGTTCGAATCCTGAAATATGGATTTGACTCTTGGGTAAGTGCAAGTGTACAAGCAGCCTTCCACCCTGTATCCTTGAAGGCATAACCTGCGATATACCTCCCTCACGATACTCCAGGACAGGGGTGGTGGGGGACCCTTAAGGTTAGGGTTTAACATTTTTTTCAAAACATGCTATCACCTAATATCCAAAACCCATCACCATCACCTCCAAACGCACCACCACCTCCACGAACAACCACTGTCGCTCCCACTCTCACGCCTTTTTAAGTCAACCTGAGAGATAGAGAAGAACTCATCCCAATTGACAAAAAGGCCTGGAATCTTTTTGACTAATTAGGCACCTAAAATTGTGGCAAAATATCAATCATTTGTGTCCAGTTTTCACTCCCATTCACTTTTATTTATCAAGCACTTAAGCTGAACCTTTCAGGCCATTGAAAGATTGGGCTGAAAAGAAGCCTGACTGTTCATCCTAGCCCAGAATCAATACACCTCGTGCTACCAAATCAGCTTACCTACCCACCTACCACAACTTAAACAGCATAAATTTACGTATATAAAGTCCTGGTAAAAATAAAGCCAACAACAAGAAAGTTAGAACAAATTAAGTATTAGCTGTTTCACCGTGTGAAGTTAGTTTATCAAATATGATCTTCAAAAAAAATTTTTTTACTAGCGAAACTTGATTTTCAAGAAACTAGATCCTTGAAAAATAACTTATATGCATATCCAACTTTTGAATGATAAATAATAATGCTATACAAAATTGAAAAGTAAAAGCCAACTGATAAAGAAAAGTAATAAAAGTTAAATTATAGAGCATAACATGGATAAAGGTGAAATTAAACCAAGTGTTACTTTATATTGGCATATCCCATATTTAAAGCGAAGAAGTCGTACAGATGAAATAATGAGACGAGAGGGGAGGTTCATTTGCACTCTACTGTAATGGGTTCTCAAAAACAAGTTTGTGGATTCATTCTCACATGGTTTCTAATCATTTGGTGTGTATGTGAAGCTAAGGTTTCACTTTCATCTACCAATGATAATGAAGAAGACAAGGTGAATTTGTCTCTTTACTATGAATCACTCTGCCCATATTGTGCAAGCTTCATTGTGAATGAACTGGTTAAGGTTTTCAAGACAGATCTCATCTCCATTGTCAATCTCAGGCTTGTCCCCTGGGGGAACACCCAAATTTCACCTAACAACACTTGGATTTGCCAGGTCCATATTATTCTCTCCCTTCTTTCTCTTAATACTTCACCGTCAAGTATTTTTCATATTAAGTAATGTTATTTAGCGTCGTATTTAACATCAATTTAGATGACAGTATTAGTAACATTAAATTACAATTTCAATTAAATAAAATGAATTATGGACCATTTAATATAACACATGATCGCTAATACTAGTATATAGTACTGTATACCAAACATGTTAATGGTATTTAAATTGTTTATATAAACTTGTGCAGCATGGCATAGACGAGTGTCAGTTGGATGTTGCAGAAGCCTGTGCTATCAGGCTCTGGCCTAGTGTGGTAAATTCCCATCCCCAGCACACACAAACACGAAATCTTTTAGGTAGTTGTTTGGCATTAATTATTTCTAGGGTTGATGCAGGAAACACATTTCAAGTTTATATATTGCATAGAGCGTCTGCATTTAATGAACAGACACACAGAATGGCAAACTTGTTTTGGTGCTGCTGGATTCAACCCAACAGCCCTTAGAAATTGTTACATTAATGGGCTTGGATATCAGGTTAGTTTTTTTTCTCCTTTGGATTCTTTTATTCATGAACTGAATTTAGCTTTTATTTTGGTTGGTTTTTGCATTTACATTTTGATTTTCTTGCGAGTTTTTTGAAACCTCACTAGTTGTTCAGTTGTCTACAATAGCATATAAGAGTATTCATCGTTTATAGAATTTGAGATTTCATTACTTTTCAGGCACGTTTGATAAGCGCATTTATTAGAATTCAACCCCTATACAGAAGATATTCCTAGTACACTACTTGTATAAAATGTGACATTAATGGTGCAGATTGAGATAGAATATGCCGATGAAACTGCTCGTCTTAACCCACCACACAGATTCGTACCATGGGTACTTGTGAATAACCAACCTCTTCAAGAAGTTCGTCCCTACTCCATATCACTTCTCTTTCACACACGTGACAAATTAGCAGAGGCGGTAAACCATAACCATTTGCTTGTATGAATGCAGGATTATCAGAATTTCATAGCTTACATTTGCAGGGCATACAGAGGGCAAAAGATGCCTCAAGCTTGCAAATCAGGTTATCCTGAAATCAACTCATTCAAGATTGCAACTTCAAGCCCTCAAGTTTGCACTGCAAGTACAGGGAAGTAAAAACTTGACAGAAGAAAACCAGAAAGAAAAGCTTCTACCACTTTGAGTATAAATAAATATATTTCGATTTGCAAATTTGTATTTGTACAAATAAGATTAAACAAAATGCCCATAAGGGCTTTAAGATAAGTGGTTATGTTCAAAGTTGAAATGTGTTTCTAGTCAAGAATCAACTCGAATCTTGAGTTTCTCAAAAAGTAGTTTGTTCAGTTCCCTTGAATTTATCAAAAATTATAACTATTTTCTCTAGTTATCCGTGTGAATAGTGGTGTCGATGGAATTGAGCTGGTCATATAGAGTTAACACCTCACAAGTTTTGTGGTAGTACATAACATTTTGATTATTATGCGTTCGAACTCAAGCTATTCTCAAAAAATCTCTAAGGGGCTAAATGTCGCTTTTTGGTTTCAAAGTTCAACTCAATCTATCCGTGTAAACTATTATTGAAAAGTCATGGCAAATAAATATTTTAGTTTTAGCCAAGAGATCTACATTTGGATTGCAATTTTTCCATAGAATAAAACATATTTCAAAATGATTTCTGGTTCAAGCTGAACCAGACCTAAAACTTGAAATACTCACACTCAAAAATCTAAATTTAATAGTAACTATTTGAAGGACCAAAAAATGTACAACTCCATTACAAAACTTTGCATTAGATTCCATTACAATGATCAGAATAACACGGTTCCAAATAAGTTATACAAGACTTTCACTTGAAATGCCTTTCACGAGTTTATCATCTTCCAGATCCCGTTACAAGTTTCAAATGCAGTCAGCTTCGTTGGATCAAACTCAAATTTCTCAACTGCTTTTGTATCTCTGTCCACAATATCTAGGATCATCAAGTTAAAGGGAAATAAAGATAGGAAAGATGCTTAAAGAGCAATGTAGAATCCAATTGGAGGGCACTAGGAAAGGGAAAAGGTAACAAGGAAACTTAGCAACACAAGCAAATAAGGATACGTCCTGAAATTTTGGATGGATCGTCCAAGTTGGGGATGATATTTGTTACGGAAGCAAACATTGATAGCTTCATCCTACAAGATCAATTGACATTGCATAAGTTGCTATGTTTCAAAAAGACACTAAAGCATGGCCTTTACCATTGCCAGCATAAGACTAATAGCATGTTTGGCTAAGCTCAAGTTAATAAGCACGCTTTAAAATAAATGAATCTTTTAATTGATCAAAGTTAAGAATAAGTTACTTATTTTACCAGTAAAGTAAGTTCTTATTTCCAGAAAATTAACTTACTATATTTAAAAAGCAGATACAAATTATCCAAGCAATATTCAGAGACAAAAACTCACAAGTAAATTTACTTATTTTTAAGCTTAACCAAACAAGAGAACAATTTGGAACACTCGCCATTAGTTAAAATTTATTTAAATAGCAATAAACATTACTAGTTACTTTTATGTCTACCAAAAATGAAAATACCTGCTCTTATCCAAATATTGTAATATTAGTCTGCCTTGAAAAAATTTTGACCATAAAATGTCCGAGAGCACAAGTTATGGGTTGCAGCACATATGACAAAACCATCATTATTACATTGTAAATGAAGCGTGTTTTGACTTCCAATCCTTCCATATTATGCAGGCAGATATAATCAGGTAGAATTTTCTTAGAGGACGTAGCTATATTGATGTAGGACAATCCTATTGTAAATAAGATAAAAGTTAGATAATTATAATAAGATATCTAGTTGTAATTGATTCATTTTTTCATTCTTATTTCTTGTTTAGAATAGGATTACTAATTTCTTTTAGATTATAATTTATTTTAGTTCCCTTATATCAGTTTCCTAGTAGTAGTATAAATATAGAGGCATTGTACGTTTTTCAACAACAATCAATTATTATTCAATATATAGATAATATAATTGTTCAAATATCATTTTTATTTATTACATAATTCTTATTACAAAAATTTCGTAATATATCTTTCAAATGCAACAAATAAAATAATGTATACGTAAAAACAGAAATTGTGCCTGTGATCTAAGTATCAAATTCACTGTTCGAGGTAAAAAGGGAGGAAAAACAGTGGGGGACAGGTTGAACGTAGACTAGTGAACAAGACACTATCTAATGTAGTTTGTAGATATGTAAAAATACACAAAACTGGAGACCAAGAACTGCAAGCAC